ACTCTCAACTTTTCGCGTGCGTCGCTCGTCAGCTGTTGCAAATAAATTAAATTATGTGAAATATTTTCCTTTTTAATCAAGTGGGGGCAAGAAATATCGTTTCGAATGTATTTATTGATATGGAATATTAATTTATCTGTCGTTAGTATGTTAATTTAGTGGCCCAAGCATTCGCTGCCAAGCGTTCATTGTAGCAAGCATACTTTTAACGTGCGTTCTGTCAAACCAACGCCAACGCCAAAGCGAACGCGAAAGTTCTATGTGGACCGGCCTTAATAGTTTCTAACAAATTAACTGATCATTCCAGTTTTTATTTTTAATTTTTAATGAAACAAGTAAGAAAGTCTAAGTTCGGGCGGAGCCGAACATTAAATACCCGGCGCAGGTACTAAGTATATGATTTTCACCTTTCCGAAAGCTACCGCTACATGGTAAGCCGGTGTGTATCAATTTTGAGTAAATTAGCGTCCTTAAATTTCGAAATATTGAAGTGGTTATATGAAAAGTGGTCGTAATTTTAATCTGACTCCAATAATTTTCAATGTTTTTCTTCTATGTGGCAAGCACAATAATCATACCGAGTTTGGTACAAATTGGTAGAACGGTTACCGAGAAACATATATGAGATCATAAGTGGGCGGTGCCACGCCCATTTTCCAAAATCATAAACGTATTTCTTGGTAAAGAATTGTTGCAAGCATCAATTTTGAGTAAATTAGCTTTAATATTTATTGATTTATCGAAGTTTTCGTATTTCTCCAAATTACCGTTATATGGGAGGTAGGCGTGGTTATTGTCCGATTTTAAAAATTTTCGGCCATTTGTATGCTGTAGTAAGACTAACAACTGTGCAAAGTTTTGAAGAAATTGGTGCAGCGGTTACCAAGATATACACATGTATCCATAAGTGGGCGTGGCTACGCCCATTTTCCAAAAATTTATAATATTCTCATTTTCGTCTAAAAATTATTGTAAATATCAATTTTGAGTGAATAATCTTCAGTAGTTACTAAAATATCGCAGTTTTCGTATTTCTGAAAATTACCGTTATATGGGAGGTAGGCGTGGTTATTGTCCGATTTTGCCCATTTTCAATACCATCCCTCCTACGCCCGAAAGAAGTGCACATACCAAGTTTCGTTAAGATATCT